TGCTGTCCTCAGCAGCTACTGTACACAAACTTCTGTGGCCTTGGCCTCCTGCGGGATTCCCTGGCTCAGTATCCATCATCATCTTTTTTGTCTTAGTGTGTGCCTGAAAGCAGTAACTTCAGTCACTATCCATTAGCTATCTGGAAAGATCACCGACTAAATCAGAACCTGGAGGGGGGCAACTGTCCCCTCTGTGGTGCCACTCTGACCCTTACCTGTGAAGGATGCATTGCTGCTTCCACAGATTTTATTTCAGCCCTACTCCCTGCTGATGATAACCGCATCTCACTCCCCATTCCTGGCTGCACTGAGATGCCCCAGTTACTATGACAAGTCATCACCCCAGGTTTCTCATACAGTCATTTTGAGGCCTCTGAGTATTCCCTGCACCCTCTTTGGCTTCTCAGAAGGGCTGTGCTGTTTGTACTCATCAGCCTACTTTACACGCTCTGCACTGTTTTTCTGTTTGCCCTTCTCTGATGACTGGGGCTTTAGCAGACTGACCACTTCCAGGTGAGTTCTTATCGTTCTCTGACCTGTAGTTCTTTCATTTTCCAAATGTCTCCTTTGTTAGCTATTTGTACATGCCTCTCCAAGGGCTCTACCTATCCACTCTGAGTGGACAGCCTTATTTTTTTTTTTAAATTATGTGTATGGGTGTTTTGCCTGCATGTATGTATATGTACCATGTGCATGCAGTGGCCACAGAGGCCAGAACAACTCCCTGGGACTGAGGTTACAGACATCATAAGCTACTTATGTGGGTGCTGGGAGTTGAACTCAGGTCCATGGAGTTTTCCCCAGCACCCATGGCCACTAACAATAGTGTACCGCTCCAGTTCCAGAGGACTGGATCCTTCTAGTCTGCAGGTGCTGCACTCCTGTTGCACAGACATACATGCAGGCAAAATACCTGTATACATAACAAAATAATAGAGACAAAAATCAGTGTTTAAATGGAGTTGCCCAATAGTGGGGCAACAATGCCCCTACTAGATACCAGAGGCTGACAAATAAAAAGTCTAGTACCAGGAATGGGTTACTTCTTTTGGAGTTGTTGGTCACTGAATTTGTACAGATTCCAAATATTACAGGATACTACCATTGTTCTTGGTCACACTACCGTTGTTCTTGGTCACACTACCGTTGTTCTTGGTTACACTACCGTTGTTTTTGGTTACAATACTGTTGTTCTTGGTTACACTATCGTTGTTCTTGGTTACCCTCCAGAATTGATAGTGAGATCCTAGTGCTGCATATATCACATGGGTATATTTAGTCATGGGATATGGAGAAATGGAGCAGGTACTGACCTGGAAGCTCCATTCCTACTGGCTAGCTTTCACAGTGCTATACGGTGCTAAGTACACTGCAAGGGGAAGAAAGTAAGCAACAATCTTATCTAGTTGTGAGCCCTGCAAGCTATAAAAATGGCTGGTCTGGAACAAAACGCCTATTTAGTTGTGGGCTTCACCCCAATCCCCTGGCATCCATACTGAAATGTTGGGCAGAAAACTCCATTCCAAGCCTCCTCCCCTGGGAGCAGCCACAGTCCAGACTTCACCTTCAAGAAAACCCACCAAATGATGACCCCTCCTCAGGGAGGGTCAAGACCACTCCCACAGGCTATTTAAACTACTCCCCAGGGAATGAACATGTGGCCTCCTGGTTTTCCGTGGTCTTTCGGTACTCTGCTCCCCTCGTGTTTTCCTAGGGGGCCACCAGGGAGCGCTGGCACCCATTAAATCTGGGCATCTTCTAATTTGGTCTCATTTTGTCTGATTGGGATTACTGTGTTGGCGGAGAGGTTTGTCAGTCAAGGAAAAATACTTAACAATGCCCACTGATGTAGTAGTGCTATAGGCACCATGGGAGTAACCATTTCTAATCGGATTTATGTTCCACTCCATAAGGTGAACCCATACCTGGCAACCACTGTTGGGCCTAGAAACTGTGGCTAGATGAGTTGCAGGTGCTATGGAGATCCCACTACTATTATTCTGCTAAATGAACATTGTATTCATTAATCTGATTAATTAGTGCACCTTTCCACCCTCATCAGTGAAGCTTCTATTTTCAGTAGATGGTCATAAACACAGAGACCCACAACTGGCTAAGACACAGAGAATAAGAGACTGGAATGCCCAGCCCTAAATTGGGACATGGATATCACATCCTGTCTCCCAAGGCTCAGGGGTCATTGCTAAAGAGGGGGCAGGAAGAGTTTGAAGAGTCAGAGGTGGTGGATAAATACAAGGAAATAGTGTCCTCCAGAAACAGCAGGGCAGTTGTATATGCAAATGTCAGTTCTGGTAGCATGAATAAGCGTGGAGACATGCATTAGACATGAAGTAGTACGGCTAGCCAGGGAGCAAGCGGTAGCAGATAGCTGCTGAGGAGTCAGTTTAAGAATGTTGTTCTGGCAAATGGACCACATTCCAATGGAGGGCTGCACATCAATACATGGGCTGCACAAACTGGACTTGATGGGTGAAAAGGGGGACACAAGCAGGGTGGATAGAGTGGGGGACAGATCTGGGAGGAATTAGGGGAAGAGTGAAAATGATCAAAATATATTGTATGAAATTCTTAAAGAGCTAAGAACAACTATTGTTGGACTATTGCAAGATGCATTTCCAATTCAAATTTGCCTCCTTGTTTAGTTTTTATGAAAATTGGCAACATTTTGATTAGGCACTTATATAACATTAAGAACGGCAATATAGGCACAACTCTTGTGTCATGTTCAGCTTCATGGGATCACAAATCAAAGCAACTAGTACTTTCTGTATCTGAGGTGAGCTAAGTAGGCAGAGGCCATTCCACACAACACACAACTCCATTTTAAATGTCCTGAGCAAGCAGCACAGGGCTATTCCCCATCCCATCACTCTCCCTTGGGAACTGCCACTTCAATATGAGGCCAGGGGCATCAAGGGTTTGCTTAGGCTTCCTTGGTCATCTAGGGCCATGGGTGATGAATGTGAAATTCCATTGAGATTACAGAACAGAAAATATATACCAAAAAAGAAAGAAAATTAACTTTTTTTTTTTGAGACAGGGTTTCTCTGTGGTTTTGGAGCCTGTCCTGGAACTAGCTCTTGTAGACCAGGCTGGTCTCGAACTCACAGAGATGTGCCTGCCTCTGCCTCCCGAGTGCTGGGATTAAAGGTGTGCGCCACCACCGCCCGACCCACATTTTCTTTCATTCTGACTGACAAGCATAATATTTTGTCCTGGGGTTCAAGCCCACAGAGAGTGGAAATACAGGTTCAAGAGGGAAAAAGCACCATTTCTAGCTTTGCAGGATGTCCCTTTGCTGGGCAACAGTAGTATAAAACGTTAGCACATTTTCACCTCACACAAGATACTGACAGGTGGCTCTGTTATGCCTTGGAATGGCAAAATGTACATTATACTTGGAATGACATTGTCATCAGCCTTTTAAAAATGAGAAACTGGGGCTGGAGAGATAGTTTAGTAGTTGAAAGCACTGGCTGCTCATAGAGGAACCAGGTTTGGTTCCTAGAACCCACATGGCAACTAACAATCGGCTGCAACTCCAAGGACCCTGCACCATCTTCTGCACTCCACTGGCACTCCACATAAAACACCCAAGTTAAGAATAAGCAAAATTAAAAAGAAAAATGCAGGAAGTCTATCTCTGCCTACCTGCCAACACACGCTCTTGGTCCTTGCTTGGCAGGGGGTCACAATGGTCTGGGTAGAGTTGTCACCCCTGAGAGGTTCGAAGGCTTTCTTTCGTCATCCCAATTATGCAGGCTGCTGCCTGCTCTGTATGACGTCCCCTACAGTGACCCATCCTGGCTTCTATTCCTGAGATGCTGCTAACCTTGGCCCACCTTACTTATGCCTTTGATCCCAACGCTCTAGATTCTGAGGTACACCTACCTGTCTCAGCCATAGGATGCTCTGTTCAAGCAGGAGCAGATGTGGTTACCCTGAGCTAGGTGGCTATTTCTGGGGTAGAAAGGTGCTGAGGCTCATGGGTTCATGACTAACTTTAGCTGGGTACTCAGTAGACTAGGTCACTGATGGACTATCATCTACCTGACATTCCTAATCACTGGCTCCCTTCCTGGAACCTGCTAGTTACCTCTTGGTGTTAACCCTGTCATTGTTCCTGCCCTCACTTGCTCATATAGCTAAGGTCTAAGGCCTTTCTTGGACTCACACTGCAACTGAGTTCTGATCTGGAGCAAAAGATGACACAGATGTGGAGGCCTGACAGCAGTTAATCTGAAAAGGCTCACTAAGGGGCAGGATGAAGCTTATGGTTTTTCCTGGGATGGTAAAGGGCTGTGACTCCCGCTGAGAGTCACTATGCTATGAGAGAAGAATGGAGAAAGTTGGCTGGAGGCTGGCCGGCCTGTGCTGTCCTCAGCTCCATCCAAACAAACAAAGCCCCTCACCTAAGGCTCTCCATTCCCTGCCTGAGGAAAGTACCTTGCCCATTGTGGTCCTGAGGTAGTAGAGACTCTTGAAATTTTGGGGGGGATTATCCCTCTATGCTCTAGTTAGCCAGGTCTAGTCCCTACGGTGGAGGGGGAACACTGTAATAGGATGGGTGCAAGCTTTTAGAGCAGAAGCCTCTGTGAGGATCTCTCTATGCACCCAGGATCTGGGCATAAGAGTTCCATCAGCCATGTGCAGTAAGGGGTGCTGCAGGACTGAGGGAGTGGGAACTCTCCTCAGGGAGACAGTCCTCACCTGCACAAAAGGGCTAAACTCCACACTGCTGCTCACCGGGTTCTGAAAGACCCCACCTTCAAGTGCAGTTCTTTTGGCAGCAGTGCCTACAGTTGACCATGGCAGAGCCACAGAACTTGTCCTGGCCTCCCATAAGCTAGAGAGAGGAAGCTTGGTGAAATTTTACTTTTCTTAGTGCCTCTAGAGCACAGACTTGGAAGTCCAGTTTGGTCCATCAAGGAGCCCGTCTCACCTAATGCATGAAGGCTCTTACAAGTTGGCATCTACTTGAATGCAGGGACAGGTCAGGGAGGATAGGCAGGGCTCTAGTACGGGCCTTTACTGACTACCCCTTTCCAGAAATACTGAGGTCTAGGTGGGCTTCATCCCATCCAATACTCTTCTCAGTTCTCAGGTGTTGCAACACAGCCAGCTGTGGCCTGTGGATCTCAGGTGAGTGGAGCTGGTGTCTTTGCTGCTGTTTCACATACATCTACATCAGGACAGACCAGGTGATGGCAGAGCCAACTTTAGAGATTTTAGCCAGCAGAGTGCAAATGAAAGACAAAACCTTATCACTGACACAGGTGGATTCAGAGACAGAAAGAGGTTGGAGTTACTATAGTGTTTATTTGGGGGAGGGTAGTGGCAGTGACTGCCCACTGGCAGAAACAAACTGTTGTGAACCAAGGTCAGTAAAATGAAGCAGGAGCAGCTCAGCTGACTCAGTGGTCCTACCTACACCGTGTTCAGTCTTGAGACCAGGAAGCCACAAGAATCGTAGAAGACTGAAGCATATCTGGACCTAAGGGTCCCTAGAGCGAGGCACAATGTCTCCTTGTCAACAGGCCAGACTCTTCTGTGCCCCACAGATCCTGACACTGGACCAGTGAGCACAAAAGCACTTTCCTCCACAGTGCTTCTAACTGGGTGCTTTGTTTACCTATTCAGGTACACAAGGGTGGAGTGACATTGACCACTAAACTCCAGGACAGAGGCTGCTGTAGCCCAGGGGTCAGGAAAAGTCAAAAAGGCATCCAGGCTGGTCCTGAGGCTTCAGTGGGTTTGGAGAGCTCACTTCTGGAGAGCCTGCAGTTCGGGAGGTAGATCACACCCTGTGTAGACACCGTTGGTAACACTGTATTCTAGCAGTGCTCCAAAACAGGGATCCTGAGGAAAAGAAGAGAGCCAAGTGAGTGAAGGCCCAGAGTCTCCTGGTGCCAGGTGCATCATTGACCTCAGAAGTCATTTCCTGAGACCTCCTCCATCAAGACATGGCAGCCCAGTGTTCTGTAAACTCACTCTGACAAGGACATGAGGGTTTCCCAGAACGATCAGCAATGCTTTGGGTCTTGTGATTGCAACATTAAATCTTTTTGAATTGGACAAGAAACCCAAAAAATAACGGTCATCTTCAAATCTATCTTCATTTGACCGCACCTACAAGACACAAAGATGAATAAAAATGGTATTTCAAGTTTTTTTTTTTAATATACACAAAACCAGAAAGGTTAAGAAGCAACATGACCTCATTTGTCTGCAGACAGAAAGTCCCCCAAGATGCTAACAGGTTCTGTCTGGGTTTTCATTTTCTTTTTTGCATCTGAATTTTCACTCAGCAGTTAGCATGAGCTTGCAACAAGGATACTTTAAATAAAAGTCAGTGGTTTGAGAGTTAAGCTGTCCTTGTGTGGTGGCATAAAGGCAAATGTTTGGCCTTCTTTTGCCATCTGAAGCATTCTGCTCTAGCTGTCTGTCTTTCACTATCTTTTTTCCTTTTCTTTTGTTTTTTTAGGCAGGGTGTTACTATGTAGCCCTGGCTGTCCTGAAACTCACTATATAGACCAGGGGGCTTCAAACTCAAAGAGATCTGCTTGCCTCTGCTTCTGAAATGCTGGGATCAAAGGTGTGCACAACCTCATCTGTCTTTCACTAGTTTATTCCTCCTCCATGCATTGGCTATTTCTTCCTAAACTCTTTTCACTTGGGTGCCTGATCCTCCCCCCCCCCCCCAGACAGGGTTTCTCCATAGCTTTGGGGCCTGTCCTGGAACTCACTCTGTAGACGAGGTTGGCCTTGAATTTACAGAGATCCACCTGCCTTTGTCTCCCCAGTGCTGGGATTAAAGGTGTGCTCTGCCACCACCACCTGGTTTGATCTTTGGGGTTTTGTTGAACAATGTAGTATAGTTACCACTTTTGGAAACACTTGAGTCTAATACCAGAGTCTCTAGCCTGCAGTGCAGTCTGTTACACTGTGAACTAGGTTCTACCATTTTATTTGAGTGTATCTGTCATTCATTAAATAACCAGCGATTTCAAGCACAAGTCAGCTGGCCACAAACAGAGAACTTACAGTGGAGATGACAATGACCAAGTATTCTTGCCCCTGGAACTCCTCGACTGAGCCAACCTTTATGTCAGTCAAGTCCACATTCCGCAGAAGGATTTTTATTTTCTCCACCTTTAAAACAGGTTATAAGATTAAAAATAACATTGTAAAAATCAAGATATATACCTATTACAGTTAACCCAAATACTACTATGGTTTGGTTCTGAAACACACTTCCTCTCATACTTTTGAGCACCTGGTCCACAGCTGGTGGCGCTATTTTGGGAAGCTGTGTAACTTTTAGAAAGTGGGGCCCAGTTGACAGAGTAGGCTTCTGAAGGCTGTTGAAGGGCCTTTCCAGCCTGCTTTCCAGACACATGTTCCGTTGCCAGGAATTAAGTTATTCACCATGTCTTCCCCACCATGATGGACTGAGATCCTCTGAAATCTGAGACAGAATAAGTCCTTTCCTCCCTGAGTTGTTTTGTCAGGTGTCTCAAAGTGACATGGGAGTAACTAATACAAAAAATTGGTATGAGAGAAGTGTGGCTATTGCTGACTAAACCTGACCATGGCATCTCAGGCCTTTGCAAGTTGGTTTGCAGGAGGAATTCACAACATTTTAGAACTGTGGGCTACAGAAGTGTCAGCATGCTGTAAGCACAGCTAAATGGATAATTCTGTTGAACTTTGGAAGAACAGAACATTAGAATGTGGACAGTTCCATCAACTAGGGAACAACAATTCAGAAAGATGAGCCTCTAGGGGTCATTCTCCTTCAAATCACTACAAATTCCCAAAAAAGTCTCTGCATGTGATGCTTAGGAAGGCACACAGGGGCCATGTGGCCAAAGGCAAGGCCTGGGACACCACCAGTAACGTCTCCCCACTCTCTTGTCACTGTGACCCACTCTGCTTTCGTGGTCTAAAGTTAGTGGAGCTCTGCTGTGGCTCACAAATCTTTGCTCTAGCCCGAGAACCTAAGTTCTTAATGATGCTCAAGTTCAGTGCCGGCTTCAGTCTTCAGCACTTTTGTTGTAACCTTCTTGTCTTACATTTTAAAAAATATTATGATTATCTCGAAAATCACCATAGAATCTTCGTCTGGCGACGGATGGAGATAGAGACAGAGACCCTCATCAGAGCAAAAGACTGAGCTCCCAAGGTCCAGTTGAAGAGCAGAAGGAGGGAGAAGATGAGCAAGGAAGTCAGGACCGAGGGGTTGGTCCACCCACTGAGACAGTGAGCCTGTTCTAATGGGAGCTCACCAAATCCAGCTGGATCGGGTCTGAACGAGCATGTGATCAAACTGGACTCTCTAAATGTGGTTGACAATGGGGGCTGACTGAGAAGTCATTAATAAAGGCACTGGGACTTGGTTTTATGGCATGTTCTGGCTTTTTGGGATCCTAGTTTATATGGATGCATAGCTTCCTAGGCCTGGATGTAGGGACGAGGGCCTTGGACTTCCCACAGGGTAGGGTTCCCTGCCCTCTCTCAAGCAGGGAGGTGGAGAGAGGACGGGGAGGGGGACGGGGGGGGGGGGGAGGAGAGAACAAGTGTAAATATTTGAATGGAAAAATAAAAAAATATTTATTATGTATAAAGTGTTTTGCCTGTATGTATTCCTGCATGCACCAGGTTTCATTACACTTGGTTGTGAGCCACCATGTGGTTGCTGGGAACTGAACTCAGGACCTCTGGAAGAGTTGCCAGTGCTATTAACCGCTCTCTGAACAATCTCTCCAGCCCTGCCCTACATTTAAAATTTTTCAAATCCTCTTCAAACCTGCATGTGAGAACAAGCAAGGGATTTGAGAAGCATGTTCTAAGTTACAGTTGCTTGATCACAGTGATACACCATTCTCAGACTATACCTCTGCAGCTTGGTATCAGTGATGCCAATGCAAAGGTCCCATGGGGACGTGTTGGAGGATTCGGCCTTTCCGGCTCCTTCCAACAAGGCTACACAGGGCAATTGAGCCAGGCTGTGACAAATAGACATCTGAGTGATGGCTTCTCTCTCTTTCTCTCTTGATGGGTTTCTCTGTGTAGTCCTGGCTGTTCTGGAACTCACTCTGTAGACCAGGCTGGCCTTGAACTCAGCCATTGGCCTGCATCCCCAGTGCTGGGATTAAAATCCTGTGTCTCCACCATAGACAAGCTGGTTTCTTGCTATCAGCAGATCTGACCATCAGTGCAAAGGTTACTTGCTTTCTCTTGGCAAATGAGTGACACTGTAAGAGTTATATGTGTCCATATGTGCTACATTCTGAGCTGGATATGGGGATAAAAAGGTAGGACAGGGTGATGAAGAGATGGCCCAGTGGTTAAAAGCACTGACTACTCTTCCAGATGACCCAGGTTCAAATTCTCAGCACCCACATGAAGGCTCAGAACCACGGATAACTCCAGTCCCAGGGGATCTGACACCCTGTTCTGGCCTTATTGGACAGCAAGAAATAAAGTGGCACATAGACATATACGTAGGCAAAATACTTGTAAATATTAAAAAAATCACAGAATAATAACGAAACGAAAAATACTGAGGGTATTTTTTAAAAGGAAATAAATGGGTGGTGGTGGTGCATGCCTTTAATCCCAACACTTGGGAGGCAGAGGCAGGTGGATCTCTGTGAGTTTGAGGCCAGCCTGGTCTACAAAATGAGGTACAGGACAGTCAGGACTGTTTCACAGAGAAACCCTGTCTTGGAAAAAAAAGTAGCATAAAAGAATATGAATGTAGTTCAATGGTTCAGTCCTTGACTACCACGCACAAGGCCGTTTGATTTCTAGCACACAAAACAAAACCCTGACCATTTATGATTCCTATGTGAGCACCTGGGAGACTGAGACAGGATGATCATGAGTTAGAGGCTGGTCTGGGATACAAAATGAGTTCTAAGACAGAAACTATTTCTAAAAACCAGAAGCTAGGACTGGGTGGTGGTGACTTAAGCCTTTAATCCTAGCACTTGAGAGGGCAGAGGCAGGTAGATCTCTCTGGATCTACAAAGAGATCCAGAACAGCTAGGACTGTTATACAGTATGAGAGATCCTGTCTCAAAAAATCTAAACCAAAACCAAAAACCAACCAATGAACCAAACCAAATCAAACCAAACCAAACCAAACAAAAACCCCAGAATCTAGAGCACTGGTTGCTCTTCCACAGGATCCAGAATTGACTCACTAAGTGGCTCACAACCACCTAACTCTAGTCCAGGGCCTCTACAAGCACTTCATGTATATGTTGTAGATACACACATACAGGTAAAGCATCTATACACATAAAATAAAACTAATCTTTAAAATAAACAAACAAGCAAACACTAACAAAAGAGTCTCTCAAATGCCTGGTCAGTCCCATGAAAATTAGTTGGACATAAAGACCCTGAACTAATCCACTATGCTGGACAGCTAGCTGTGCAGTGACCAAGGGCAGTGTGGAAGGCTGGGTAAGCTCTTCAGCCTAGATCAGTGCAATCTTGAGGATCGAGCTGAGCCTCAAGGACAGGCTGATAGGTGACACTAGGCTAGTCTGATGTCACATGATCTGTTCTCCCATGGATGTCTACTAGTATCCATGAAGGGCTTTAGGTCAAAACAAGACCTAGGCAAGACGGTGAGGAGACAGACCAGTCTACTCGAACAAAGCAACCATACAATTGCACAATCAGTGTTCTGGAAACAATCACAGCCCAACAAGTGTTAATGCTACTCAACTCTGGGTAATAATAATGGGAGTCTGTGTTCTGGTCTGTGGGCTCTTCTACCTGGCTGTAACCTCAAAAGGCAAGCATATATGGAGAACCAAGAGTTCTGCTCATGGGCTAGAAAGATGGCTCAGCTATTAAAAGCTAGGCTGATAACCAAAACCAAAACCAAAACCAAACAATCAAGATTAAAAAACCCCAAAAACAATACAACAAAAATAGGAAAATAAAGAGTTGGGTTCCCACCCAGCATCTACAGCTGTCTCTCCTACTTAAAAAAAGAAAAAAGACCTTGAACTGGGAATGAGTGTATTATTGGCTGAAGCTGTATTCATGGCTGAGGAGATACAGAAGAGTCTGGTGAGAAGCAGTAGCTTGGGAAGACTCAAATGGCCTGAGGTCTGCACAGAGAGGCACCTGAGGATATATACTTAGTGAATGGCAACCACACAAGGTGATGAGGATGGCCATTGCTGAAAACTGATGACCCACTAAGCTGGGCTTGTACTCCCCAAGAAGCCATATCTAAAAACAAGACTCAATAAAAAAACTCGGAAACAAAATGCAAGAAAACATCAAAAAGCTCATCCACCATGATCAAGTAAGCTTCACCCCAGAGATACAGGGATGGTTCATGAAAATCTTTCAATGTAATCTACCATATATATAAACTGAAAGAAAAAAACCCACACAGTCCATCTCATTAGATGCTGGAAAAGCTTTTGACAGAAATCCAACACCCCTCATGATAAATCGTGGAGAGATCAGAGATACAGGAGACATACCTAAACATTATAAAGTCAATTTGCAGCAAGCTGATAGCCAACATCCAATTAAATGAAAGGAAACTCTAAGCACTTTCATTAGCAGCAAGTTAATGTATTTGGCTGGGTTTTTTTCGAGGCTAAACATTTTTTTAGATTCATTTTTTTATTTTATGTATCAATGCTTTGTCTGCATTATTGTCTATATAGCATATTGTGTTTGGTACTAGGAATCCAGAGGAGAGCATGAACTGGAGTTACAGGTAGATGTGAGAGGGTCCTGACAACCGAATGCAGGCCTCTGCAAAAGGAACACGTGCTCTTAACCACTGGTTAGTGGGCATCTCTCTAGCCCGAAGGATAAACTTTGGTTTGTTGAGGCAGAATTTCTCAGTAGCTATGGAACCAGTCCTGGAACTTGCTTTGTAGACCAGCCTGGCCTTGAACTCACAGGGATGCACCTGTCTCTGCCAGCCCGAGCTATATTTCTTTTATGAGCAGAAAGATGGATACTATTTTCATAGCCATTCTGTTAGCTTGTATCTTTTTTTTTTTAATACAGGGTTTTGTCGGGTGGTGGTGGAGCACACCTTTAATCTCAGCACTCGGGAGGCAGAGGCAGACAGATCTCTATGAGTTCGAGGCCAGTCTACAGAGGGAGTTCCAGGACAGGCTCTAAAGCTACAGAGAAACGCTGCCTCGAAAAACCAAAAAAGACAGGGTTTCTCTGTATAGCTTTGGAGCCTGTCCTGGAACTCGCTCTGTAAAACAGGTTGGCCTCAAACTCACAGAGATCTGTCTGCCTCTGCCTCCCAAGTGCTGGGATTAAAGGTGTGCATACCACTGCCTGGTATACTGTGTCTTTTTTACTGGGGAATTGAGTCTATTGATACTGAGAGATAATGACCAATGACTGATAATTTATGTTATTTTGTTGTTGTTGGTGGTGGTAGTGTGTGCTTCCCTTCTTTTGGTTTTGCTGGTGTGAGATTATTTATTTCCCGTGTTTTCATGGGTGTAGTTAGCCTCCTTGGGTTGGAGTTTTCCTGTGTGGGTCTGACATAGGTCCTCTGCATATATGCTATGGTTGTGTAGCTTGGTGTTTTTGTCAGAGCAGGGACTATCTCTGCCTCTTTTACCTGTTTTTGGGACCCCTTTCCTCCTACTGGGTGCTTCATCCAGCCTTAATATGAGAGAATGTGCCTAGTTTTATTGTAACTTGATATGCCATGTTTGGTTGATATCCCTGGGAGGCCTGCCCTTTTCTGAAGGGAAATGAAGAAGTGGATCTGGAGGAAAGGGAAGGGGGGGTGGAGAAGAGGAGGGAGGGAATGTAACAGGATGTAATATATGAGAGAAGAATAAATAGAAAAGAAAAAAAGAACATATGAACTTGGACTTGTGAGTGGGCTACAGTGCATCATCAAGATGGAAGATGCTCTGTTTCCAAAGAGCTATGTGGTCAATGGCCCCAAACTTACCAAGGAGGAAAAATAGCCAGCACCAAGTGGCTGTGGGCTCTTAATCAGGCTATTGCTATCTCTGTGCCACCAAAGGGGCAGGAACTCAGCTACTGAAACTTGTGTTTGGTATAGAAGGTACCACTACTCACAACATAGTTTCAGAACAGGTAATAAACATGCAGAGTTTATGGCTGTCACAACCTATAGAGAGCTTTATAGGATCAGCAATACTTGCTGCCTTCAATCCTTGTGGAAGGGCGATCCTCACAAACGCTCACAGCATTCATTACTTTTGAGAAATACTGGTGAGGGCTGGGATGGACAGCTTTCTTTTTCTTTTATAGAGACAGGGTCTCCCTCTGTAGCCCAGACTGGCCTACAACGTGAATAACCCAGACTAGTCACTAACTAGAAGCAATTCTCCTGCCTCAGTCTCCCAAGGGCTACTGCTAAAGATATGAACTACACATAGAAAGATGTTTCTTCTTCATCATCATCATCATCACCATCATCACCTCAGAGACTCTCCTGCCAACTTCTCCCAAGTTCTGGGATTGAAGCTGAAAGCTTTTATTTTCTCTTTTAAACGGTTTTTCAAGACAGGGTTTCTCTGTGTAGCTCTGGCTGTCCTGGACTTGCTCTGTAGACCAGACTGGCTTCGAACTCAGAGATCTGCCGCCAGAGTGTTAGGACTAAAAGCATATGCCACCACTGCCCTGACAAAAGTTCTTTTCCTTCCTTTCTTCCTTCAAGATTTAATTATTTATTTTATATGAATGCTCTATTGACTTTATACCAGAAGAAGGCATCAGATCCCACTATCAGCCACCATGAGGTTGCTAGGAATTGAACTCAGGACACCTGGAAGAGCAGTCAATGCTTTTAACCACTGAGCCATCTCTTTAGCGTCCTGAAAGTTTTTTTCTTAAAGGGACAAAATACCAACATATTCCACAGGTCCTTATGTAAATGTTTATGATGTAATTACCTAGAATGTAAAATAATGTTCAGCCCTGGGTGTAATAAGACAGGTGGCTGGTAAGTAACGGCCATGAGGTGTATGCTTTACCAGTTTCTTATCTTCAGCATGGTTCTGCTTCTCTGAAAATCTCCTGCTGTTCAAAATGAGTTTGTTTCTGGCCTTCAGAAACCAAAGACCAAGGGCCATAGTGACCATATACGAAGGCAGAGTCCTGGTGGGCTAACCTGCTTCCTATAGGGTGTGATGACACCAATATCCTTGGAAGAAACTTGGCTGGAGACATTCCGGGCCAAGAGGCAACAGTAGCGCATGACCTGGACAGCCTCGGCTGGGCTGAACCATGACGGGCTTCTCCCTTCACGAGCCTCATTCCCCTGAGACAGTGAGAACATAACAAGTTATTTACCTAGTGACATGTACCAGGATCAAGAGCTCAAGTAGGGACTGGGAATACACAGTAAACACAACAGAAAGAACATCTCTACTGTCATACAGAATTTATAACCTATCAGGACAGTTATCATTAAATAATTTGGAAATTAGAACCATCTTTTTAAATAAGAAGTACCTTTACCCCAGACAAGGTCTTGCTAGGTTGGAACTCACTATGCAGAACAGGATGTCCTTAGCCTGAGTGCTGGGATTAAAGGCATGTGTTGTCACATCTGGCTAACAAAAAATGTTCTAAGTCAGAGTCTTACTATGTAGCCCAAGCTGGCATAGAACTTGCTAGGTAGATCAGGTTGGCTTCAAACCTACAGAGATTCATGTGTCTCTGCCTCTCAAGTGCTGGATTAAAGGCCTATAGCACTAAGCCTGCTAGAACCACACTATATTTTATACAAGTAAAGAAAAGGGATGGTTGTACAAATCTACCATTTTAGGGCCAGAAATGGTGGCACATCCCTTTAATTTCAGCACTTGGGAGGCAGAAACACACAGATCTCTGTGAGTTCAATGCATAGTAAATAATAAGTTATAAGACAGCCAGAGCTATATAGTGAAACCCTGTCTCAAAAATCAAGCAAGCAAACAAACAAAAGAAATCCTGAAGCTCTACAAGATGGATAAACCCTGAGGAATGCTGAGTCAAATAGCCAGGCATCGGAGTATGACTGTATAGTCCACTTACACAAGGTCTACAGAGTGGTCACATTCATAGGGGGCTGCCAGGGGCAGGGCTAGTGGAGAACTAAGATTTTGTAGGGAGGGAGTTTCAGTTTTGCAATATAAAAAGATTCTAGAGATTGTTGGCCAAAAACTATGAATATACTTAACAGCACTGAACTTCACAGTTTAAAATGGTTATTTCACCATAATTTAAAAATGAACAAAGCTTGGTGTGATGATGCACATCTTTATCCCATCACTGGGTCTGAGCATGAGGTCAGCCTGCGCTACTTACCAAGATCCTGTCTCATAAAACACAACAGAATAAAAAAGTAAATCAGATAAAGCTATAATAATCACAATTACCTTTCAGAATAGCCTGTTTTATGATATATAATTTTATCCATTTTTATTTATAATATAACCTAAATATCTTAAACATTAATGAGAAAGAAGATTATGGTAGGATTTTAAAAATTATTTTATTACCTTATGTATGTGTACCATGTATGTGTCTTGTGCTCACTAAGGTCAGAAGAGGGTATCAGATCTCTTGGAATTGGAGCTACAGATTGCCTTAGTTAGGTTTTTATTGCTGTTAAGAGACACCATGACCATGGAGACTCTTATAAAAGAAAACATTTAATTGAGGCGGGGCTTGCTTATAGTTTCAGTTCAGTCCATTATCATCAGGGCGGCATGCAGGCAGATGTGCTTTTGGAAGAGCCAAGAGTCCTACATCTTGCAGGCAACAACTGACTCACTGGGCAATGTCCTAAGCATTGGAAACCTCAAGCCCACTCCCACAGTGATACAATTCCTCCAACTAGGCCATACCCATTCCAACAAAGTCACACGTTCTAATAGTGCTGCTCCCTATGAGATTATGGAGGCCAATTACATCAAATTGTCACATTCCACTCCCTGGCTCCATAAGCTTGTAAAATATCATAATGAAAAATTTAGTTCAACTTCAAAAGTTCCCATAGTCTATCACAGTCTCAACAATGTTTTAAAGTCCAAAGTTCAGTCTCTTCAAAGATTTATGCAATCACCTGTAAAAATCAAATTCAAAAGGCAGATCACACACTTCCAATATATATTGGCACAGGATATACATTACTGTTCCGAAATGTATGGAAGGGGGCATAGTGAGGGAGGACTGGACCAAAACAAGACTGAAAACCAGCTGGGAAAACTCCAAACTCTGCATCTCTATCTGTATCTGCATGTCTGATGTCAAAAACACTCTAAATCTCTAACTTCATTCAGCTTTGTTGACTGCAAGACACTTCTTTCTCTTAGGCTGGTTCCACTCCCTGTTGGCAGGCACCCCATGATTCTGGCATGTCTATGTCTAACATCTTAAGTTCTCCAAGGCAATCCAGGCTTCAACTTCACAGCCTTACTCAACGGCCTCTCTACTAGGCCTCCATTCAGGAACACCCTGACACATGCCTGGCCTCAGTGACTTTATTCCATAACTTTCTTTTGTCCTTAACCCTAAATCCAGAACAATGTGGCAAAAGCTGCTAAGTTCTGAGCTCGCTGGGGCTGGAACATGGCCCCCTTGTTTAATTATATCTTCACCAGCTTTCTGTCCTCACTGCCTAAGACTGGCTGTCCTGACATTTGCTCTACAGACCAGGCTGGCCTCAAACTCAGAGATCTGCCAGTCTCTGCCTCCCGAGTGCTGGGATTAAAGGTGTGCACCATCATACCCAGCTCTAAATTTTTCTTTGGTTTCTTTCTTGGATTGGAAACTTAGCTGAGTGGGATCTTGCCCTGAGGTCACTACTCCATTCCATTTATTAATCCATTTATCTCCTTTTCATATAAATCTTCATTATACTTATCACTAATAGCTACACAACAGAGTTTTATACTAAACTGTTTTGAGATTTCTTCTGCCAATAAAATTAAGTCAAATCTCTTCACTTTAGCCTCAGGCAGACTCTTCAGACTAAGGCAAAAGGCAGCCATTTTCTTCACCAAAATATTACAAGAACAATCTCTAGGCAACATACTAAAATTATTCTCCTCTGAAACCTCTTGAGCAACCCCCCGACAGTTCAAATAACTCTCAGCACCTCTGTCTTCTATACTTCTACTATTATGGCCCTTTAAGCAGTGTTTAAAGCATTCCACTGCTTTTACAATCCAAAGTACCAAACTCCAAATTCCTTCAAACAAACCAGTTCATGGTCAGGCCTATCACAGCAATACCCTAATCCCTGGTACCAACTTCTGTCTTAGGGGTTTTATTGCTATGAAGAGACACCATGACCACAGCAATTCTTATAGAGTAAAACATGTAATTGAGGGGAGTTGCTTACAGTTTCAGAGGTTCAGTTCATTATCATGGCAGGGAGCATGGCAGCATATGGGAAGCATGGTGTTGGAGAAGTTAACTGGTATCCCGAGCATAGGAAGCTTCAAGCCTACCCCCACTGCTGTGGACTAGAATATTTGTTTAACTATGTAAAGATGTGCTGTATTTGTTTGACCTTGCCTGCCTAAGGCACCTGATTGGTCTAATAAAAAGCTGAATGGCCAATAGCTAGGCAGTAGAGGGATAGACAGGGATAGCGGCAGAGGGAATAAAGAGGAGAAGGAATTTAGGCTGGAGAGAGAATAAGGGAGAAAGAGAGGAAGACATCCTGGGCTGGCCAGCAAGGCGCCTGCCTGCCTGCCAGCCACAGACAGAGGAAGCAGGAAAGTATGAAATAAAGAATGAAAGAAAGGTAAAAAGTCCCAAGGCAAAATGTAGATGAAGAGAAACAGGTTAAATCAAGTTATAAGTGCTAGCAGGATATGTATAAGATAAAGCTGATCATTCATAACTAATAAAAAGTCTCTGTGTCATGATGTGGGATACAGCAATCTGAGAAAGCCTGCTATACCTTATAATGACACACTTTTTCCAAGAAGGCCATACCTACTTCAACAAAGTCCCATATAGGTAGAGTTTTCCTATACTGGGAGCTGCTTCAATTACCACACAGAGGCTTGTATTAATTGTAAATGCTTGTCTGTAATACATATACAACACAACTCCTGTACCTAAAGCTCCAGGAACATTGTGGAAGTGGGGGACCAGAGAGACTATAGGAGCAAGAGGACCAAAAAGTCTGATGTGAGAGCATATCTTGTAGAAATGACAGGGAAGCTACATCCATGATGACAATATGGATGTCTAAACAAGACCTAAAATATAACACAAAGCCATGCCTTTGTGGAAGGGGGAAATCTCACTGGATCCCACTCCCAGACGAAGAACTATAGGCAACTAAGGACTGCTAATTGAGGGACAATTAGAATAAGCCCGCAATTGCCTAATACCAAGAGCTCAGCTCTGAAATCATATACACACAAGCCAACACTAAACTGACTCTGCAAGCTATATTTATATATTTATGTATTTACACATGTATGTAACAACAGAAAAAGAGGCCATGAACTTGAGGAGAAAAAGGGGGTGCATGGAAGAGGTTGGAGGAAGGAAAGGAAATGCAGGAAACGATGTAATTATATTTTAAGTTAAAATATTAAAAAAAAACTAGTGCGAGAAGAGATGAGTAAGGTAAGGTATCAAGGAAGAATGCTAAAGATAAAAGCTGGAAATAATGAAGGAGGGAAGGCAAAGTCTGTCCATCCTGGTTTCTCACTTGTACCAGAGGATGACACAATGCTACTGTAAAGAGGTAATAAAGGCTTTAGGATCTTATGGGGCCATATTGTCCTGCTCAGTGCTGCTACCAGAGCAGAAAGCAGCACAGCCCAAGTGGTCTGTGCATGACGTATACCGTGGCTTCTCCATGACAATTCCTGTGACAAAAAGACAGTTTCCTCTGGGCCTGTTTTCAATCCTACCCTGAGCATGCCATAAACACCTTACTGAACAATTCTATCTGGTACATCAAAAGCACAGGTGGGCACCAGAACATTCTGTCTGCTGTCACCAGAGGAAGCCAAGCATTCAGTAAACAGGGGCCAAGCCTGCCAGCAACACTGCAGCCAATTCACCAGGAATGTAGTTCTTTCTGCTCCGATTGGGCGTGGACCACATGTTCTCAGGGCCTAGAATTTAGCAGAGTACTTGACATTCAGAAATGCTGAACTATGACTACATCACCTGCAGTGATCCATGCTGATGCTCCACCACCTCTGTATCCACTGGAATACAAACGGACTTTTTCACAGAAGAAGCAGGGCTTCCAGGTCTGAGTCTATTCTCAGTTCTTCACATAGCCTATCCAGATCATTGTCTTATCCAGCTGCTCCCCAGTGACAGTCTGCTTGGCTGTCCCTGCTGACTCTCACAACTGCACAGATTACGCAGACAAGCAAGGGAGTCCACCTCTTATGGTTACAAGATTTCTGAAACTCTGCCTGCCTGATACAGACCCCCCCCCCCCAGTTAAAAGTGTCCATAAAAGTCAGATGTGGGGGCTTCCACATGTAATCCCAGCACTAAGGAAATTGAGGGAAAAGGATTTTGAGTTCAAGGTTGGCCCGTGTTGGCAAGACTGTCACAAACAAACAAGGCAGGGGTGTGACTCAGTAGGTAGAGCACTTGCCAGGCATGATGCATGGAGTTCTTGGTTTCATCTCCAGCACTGAACCAGGTATAGTAGTGCATGCCTATAAACCTAGCCCTTAGAGGTGGAAACAGTGGGGCCATAAGTAGAAGGTCATCCTCAGCTATATGTCAAGTTCAAGGCTAACCTAGTATATATGAGATCCTATCTCAAAAAACATAACAAGGGGCTGGACAGATGGCTCAGAGGTTAAGAGTACTGGCTGCTCTTCCAGAGGTCCTGAATGCAATTCCTAGCAATCACATGGTGGCTCACAACCATCTGGTGCCCTCTTCTAGCCTTCAGGAATACATGCAGGCAGAACACTGTATACATAATAAATAAATTTAAAAAGCAAACAACCAAACAACAACAAAATATCTATCTGCCCATGAGAAACCTGTTGAGATATTTACCCTGGATCAAATAGAGATATCGGTCCAAAGACTACTCCTCCTCCTTCTCCCAGAGTGTGTTTCCTGGCCTCTGTACATGACCTTTAGGTTGTCATGAACTCCCAGGGTCTGTTGGTGATCAAATCTGTATTTCCATCTTGTTTTTCAGGGACTGAAAGGTACTTTTATCTTAAAAGTTCTCCACACTGGGATGAACATGGTAGCATACATCTTTAGCACATGTCTTTAATCCCAAGGCAGAAGCAGGTGGATCTCTGTGTTCAGTGCCAATCTAGTCTATAGAGTGAGTTCCAGGTAGATGGAGTTACACAGTAAAACCCTGGTCAAATAGAAAAATCCTCTATATCCACTTGTATTTTTTGACTCCCTTCCACCAGCTTGTACCTTTATGGTCAACTACACACGTGCACATGTATGTGTGTGCACACACATACCCCACACACTTCATCTTTGTGGTACTGAGGACTGATCCCAGGGTCTTACACATGCTAGGTAAGTATTTTACTACTGCACTGCATATTTAATATACATCTAATACTGGACACTTTTATTTACTCTAACTTTGTAGAGTATATTTTGTAACATCAAGTCTAATGATTCATTTGTCTGGTTCTTCTTTTTTTTTTTAAAAAAAAAACTTATTTATTTATTATGTGTATGTATGTGTGCCTGCACACACACGCACATGCACGCACGCGTGCGCACATATACACACACACACACACACACAGTGCCCATGCAGGCCAGAGGGGGTCGACCCCATTACAGATGGTTGTGAGCCACCATGTGGTTGCTGGGAATTGAACTCAGGACCTTTGGAAGAGCAGGCAATGCTCTTAACCTGAGCCATTTCTCCAGCCCTTGTCTGGTTCTTTTTGACAATATTAAAAATTGAATCTAGGACTAAAGTGGCATATTATTTATGTTTTAATAAATAAAGCTTGCCTGAATATCAGAGAGCAAAGCAGCCATACTAGTCAGTCATACAGGCCAGGCAGTGGTGGCACACACCTTTAATCCCAGGACTCAGGAGAGGCAGATGGGAATCTCTGTGAGTTCAAGGCCACCCTGAGCAGAAGAAGACTGAATCTGTTTAAAAGAGAAACAGAGCTCACACAAAGGTGATCTCAGCACTGGAGAGGTAGAGACAGGAGTGATATGGCTGGGCAGAGAGAGGAATATAAAAGAGCTCTCTAGTGGCTGGCTGCTTTGCTTTTCTGATCTTCAGCTTGAACACCAATATCTGTCTCTGAGTTTTTATTATTTGTGCTACACAGAACTGTACTCATTTTCTTTTATAAAACACTTTTAACTGTCATTAAAATAGTACTCATTAAAAAAAAGCTTGTGGTATTTTTTTTAAGACAGGGTTTCTCTGTGTGGCCTTAGCTGTCCTGGAACTTGCTTTGTAGACCAGGCTGGCCTCAGAGATCTGCCTGCCTCAAGCTTCTGAGTGCTAAGACTAAAGGTGTGTGCCACCATGCCTGGCCTGTGGTAATTTTTAAAATTAGACTGCATTAAAGAATTGAGATCTTTAAGATATTGAACTCTCATTTATGAATACGCCCTCATGTGCTCAAGTAAAGCCTTGTGCCTTTGTGCCAGCGTATTGCTGGTTATGCCTCACAGGCTCATTTCTGGGCACTCTAGAGAGATTCCTTCCACTCTAACAACCACTTGTCTTTCCTGAGGATGGGCAGAGCTACCCAGACCACAAGGAGGGTATTCCTGGGGAAGGGGCACACATTAGGACTTGGTAAGCACTGACAAACAGCCTTCGAGAGGGTGCTCCAGAGTCACCAGCATACGTCTTCAAATGTACTTCTAACTGACCCAGAACTTTTGTCCTTAAAAGATTTAGAGAGAAACTGAGTCACGGACTGCACTTGGGTGTAGCTGTCTGTGGGCTCACATACCTACAAGCCCAGGCTATGGGAGAGGAGGGCTATTTGCCATGATCCTCCCTTCTGGGTGTGACACTAATTTTGGATCATAATTCAAATCCTCTTCCCTTTGAGAAGGTGAATGTAAAACTTGATTTCTGGTTCTGACAACCAAATTACCAATACAAACTACCTGCTTTTGGTGAATTCCTGCAGTTCATTATAGCTAATGAGCATCTCAACCCCACTCTGTGAGGTCTTGTAGGAAGGAGACTCTGTCCTTGTCATCCCCCCGCCTCTGGAGCTGGGGTTGAGTGCTTGGTTGACTGGTTCTTGTGGGTTCTCAGCTTGACTGGTCTTGAGGGCAGGGCAAGTACTGTCAGGATGTCAGTCCTTAGTGCCCAGTTTCCAATGGTCTTTCCTGCCTTACTTCTCAGCCTTCTGTTTTTATTCAAAGATTTATTTTTATTTTTCATTATGTGTCTGTATGTATATGGAAGTGCAAGCTTAAAGGCATCAGATCTCCTAGAGCTGGAGTTACAAGTGGTTATGTGTCACCCAATGTGAGTGCTGGGAATTGAACAGAGGTCTGTGACTGTAAAAAACTCTCTTAAGCACTGAGTCATCTCTCTTGCTCATCCTCCTAGACCTCTAATCCATACTCTGAGTTCTTTGAATCTGGCTTGTGATTCCTTTTGGAACCCAGTATTTATCTAATGCAAACACCAAAGGGCAGGGCCTGCAATATCTACTCTTAAGCTCTTTCTGTATGGACTCTCTGACAGGAGAGGTCAGCAGCAGCCCTTTCCTGCTGCCTTATACTTAAGGGATCAGAACTTGTCATCCCCACTTCAGGCCCATGGAGAATGCTTGGCTAATGTAGCATAGATGGGGACTCGCAACAATGGGAACATCATTGTTCTCTGAATGAAGACACCCCCTCCTCCCCTTCCTGAAACACCAGATGCAAGGAGCACTCAGTAGTCAAGGCAGACTTACCCTCACGCCATGGAAGATGAGAGGGAAGCCTTTTCTGGGCAGCTTCTCCCAGCCCAGCAGCGAAGTCACTACTTTGGGATCAGCACAGACCTCAAGCTCCCTGTGATAGAACAGGCGAGAGGGTAGTGCCAGCAGGGCCGAGTGGGACCTATAGTTCTTCACTAGCTTTGTGACCTGTAGGGAAAGGGTAGACACAGGTCACGAGAAGTCAAAACCATACAGCTCCTATCCAGGTTTTATCCCTATTGTCCTTGCAAGGAAAGCTTGAAACCAACCATATTACTGCTAACTTCACGGGGTAGTTCCCTGCTCCTGCCTCTATTCTATTAGCTTGAAATCTGAGGCCAGGACAAGTTTCTCAGGTGACTCTGAATCTTGAGGATCCATTTTAGCAGAAAAGGTAAACATCAGGAGGGACAAAAGGCTTCTTTTGTGATTCTTCTGGGTCCTGATTGTTGAGTGTCTCTTAAGGGGTACAGTCAGCTCTGGATACTTCTTTGTGCTGCAATTTTTGCCTTTGATCTGCCACCTTACTGTGGGTGCCCACATGCGACTCAGTTTCCATCTGGAGTCCATTCTGACTTGTAAGTCATTTGAGTTCAAGCTTCCCTGCTTTGCTTTTCCCAATAACCTTGAGGGCTGTGAGAGACTTCTGATAATTTAGCCCAAGAGAAAAGAACACACCATCTAGTAGACAGTATACTGCTGACGACAAATCTTAGGAACCTCAAGATAACAGCAAGCACATGTTAGAAGGCTGCTCACTCAAGGACAGGAATGGTCTTTGGTTAGACACTGACTGACTGTGCTGTGCTTTACTTCTGCTTTTGTATATAAGCAAGTTCTAAAATAAACTCTGGGCTGTTTTGACATTCTATCCTATGTTTTCTGTCTCAGTTTTTTTTTTCATCTGACATTTCCTTAGCCTTAATGTCCCCCCAATCCAGGAACCCTAGCTGACTTTGTGGGAGCAGGCTCCTACATCTTACAAGCTCAGCCTTTAAATGAAGTGCTATAAAGCTCTGACTCTGTGCTGTGGGCAGAAAGTAAGAGCTGCTGTAACAGCCCTGGTACATCTTTGGTCCTGGGGATAGTACTAACATGAGGAAAAAGCTTTTTTCCTCCAATTGCTTGGGAAATTGGTGCAATGCAAGCATCTGTCCTTGCTTATGGTTGTGATGGTCAATTGTCACTGTCAACTTCTTTAGATTTGGAGTTGCCTAGGAGACACACCTCTGGGTGATTCTGTTGAAGGTGTTTCTAAAGAAGTTTAATAAGGTGGGAAGACCTCTAAATGTGGGTAACACTAACTCATGGGCTAAGTCCTATACTGCATAAAAAAGGAAGACGGAGGAAGCCAAATTCTGTTTCCTGATGGCAGATGCCTCATCCCACCATGCCTTCTGTGCCATGCCATATTATCCCCTCAAATGGTGCCAAAACAAATCTTTTTCCCCACGAAATTGTCCCTGACAGGCATTTTGTCAGAGCAACTGAAGGAATTATACTGGCAAGTGCCCATTAGCCCTAGGACAGTAAATCACACTTCAAAAAGCAGAAAGTGTCCCACCATGAAGATTCACACTAGCTCAGAAAGCAGAGAGAACACAGAAAAGAGGAGGAAAGCACTTCTTTTTCAGAAGAATGTGCATGTCCCAACATGCACAGGAGGTGGGTGAGAACATATCTCCACGGGCAGGGCAGCACGCAGGCATCCTCTCTGACCCAGGAGATGCCACGCTGCACCCATCCTAGGGGCACCTGTATGTGTTCCTCTGCTCCTGGGACAGCAGGCACCTTTCTTATGAGTGTTATCCCAGAGATCCTCCTCAGCCTGAAGAATCACAACATACTTTACCCAGTCTGTGCAACACTCACTCCTTGGATTTCCAATGGAGGAAAGGGTTTTATTTCTCTGAAAACCTCTCATGACTACTATACTTCATTAACACCAGGAAAACAAGTTCAGATGGAAAACTGTTGGTATTATAACAGTTTAGTAATAATAAAGTTTACAGAATGTTTAATTATAGAAGTTTCTAGCCATGTAATGATGTCCTACAGAGTTCAGATCCCCAAGTTCATTCTGTTGTGAGCTTCCAAAGATGCAAGTTCCAAAGTCCACCTTCAGAATTTGATGGTGTGTAAGCCCAGTGTTAGGTGCAAAGTGTCCCTTTCAAACCCCAAACGGCAGTTCCACTGGCACTGTCCTAAATGACAGACTGGGCTCAGCTCACACTGGACTCTCACAGGTACACAGAAGGACTGCTGCTGAAAACCAGCATTCCTCAGAAACCTTGACAAGTGGGTTTCTGTTTGTAACGAAAGCTATCACTTCCCTTATCTGTCCCATTCAACCAACTATCTCCAGAATGGGCATCTAGCTCCTTATTAACTTAGACAAGCCGTCAATAGGTCAAAGCACCATGCTAGTTCTCAGACTATTCCAGTTAACTCACCTACCTCTTGCTGCAACACAACCCTTATAACTGGCAAAACTCTCCCACTATTTTGCCTCTCTCTGCCCAACCCCAAGAGATCGCCTTGGAAGTTTGAGTAAGCTTTTCCTTCCACGCATGGAAGGGTCTGGTTTGGTGGTTTCACCAAGCTTCGCACTCACACCCAGAAGCACCCAGGTCAGAGGACCACACAGGGCAGGCCCTCTCTCCCTTCACATGGTTACAAAAGCCATTTCTGTTTTCCTGCATTTACGGAGTAAGGCAGATTTAACTTCTTTTACTGTCTCAGATCCCCAAACTCCACATCATCAGTGTTACAATTCCATGGCACCCTCTGATCCAAACAGCAGTTCCTGTGTGACAGAAGAGCAGGCAGAAAGTACCTTAAATGCTACCTGGGAAGTGGAGGAGCCACACATGCTGCTTATCCTCCTCCCCAAATTCTGTGCATCACTGTGCTGAACATGCTTCCTGAGGGGAGGAGGGCAAGGAACAAGTGGGTGTTTGTGGAGATGGAGATACATCCAGTTCACTTGTGCAGAAGTCTGCTCATGTGCTTGACTCATAGGCAAGAGGAGCTGGGTGAGAGCAGTGTGGCAGCTGCCCTACGGACCTGCCCTCAGCAGACCCCCTCCTCCAGCCAGCACTGTCTGCTCCAATAAAACTTTGCTCTTTCTCCATTTGTGTGACAAAGCAGAGAGTTCAGAACTCACCAGAAGAGGGTTGTATGCACCACAAGCACCAAAGGCATTCTCGTCTCTCAGGTATGCTGGTCTGGACATCAACCTCTCCAACATAGACACATTCAATCCATAGGCCATGGCCAGTCTGGACTTGATGACTGGGCCAAGCTGCATGGGGTCTCCAGCAAGAACAATCTATAGCATATACAAGGATGCCTGATTAGTGTGGAGTACACAGGCATGCAGTCCAGCCACAGTAGAAAGAGCTATGGGAATTGACAGGCAGGTGGCTCTGAATAAGGTAGGGATGGGGTGTGCAGGCAGGGCCCCCTTGCGCACTCTGGTTATATGGAATGAGGGAAAACGCTGAGAGACCATGGTGGACACAGCTAGAATTGACAATGACTTAGACTGAGAAGTGGGAAATGAGAAACTGGATAAGCTTGAGACTCAGGTTTCTCCACTAAGCAGTTACTATCTGCTTTTATCAGTTCTGGTACAGCAGTCCAGCTGCCTCTTCCACTTATCTCTCAATGTGACAAAAGCCTCAGGCATGAAGCTTGTGTTCTGGAATTTTCTGCTATGCCTGACCATAGGAAATTATCCTCAGCCCTTTTCCATGATGTCCTTTCCTGGCAGGCCTCAAACTCATTAGCATCATGCTGACTAGACTCGGGAGTGTTTTAATTAGACCAGTTCTTGTTCCTTAGTTCCTCCTAGACTGTCTCAAAGAGCCTGTGACTTGAGGGGAGATGGTGGGAACACATCTGGAGGATCCTGACAAGTTCACAAGTGGGTGTCAGATGACCTCTCAGCTGGGGGCACTGAAAGAAACATGTTCTAAAATGATAACCCATGTCACTGTCCAACGTAGCAGAGAGAAGATAAGATGGGAATCTGCCAGGAACACACAGAGCTGGAGGGGCTGGGGTCTGAGTGAGGAGCCCCTGGAAAATGTAATGGAACAACAGTCAGATCCTAGCAGAGCATGAGGCCCTGTCCTCTCCCCTCTGCCATGTGGAATACCCACACTGGAAATCAGCTCTTGAGTCTGCCATTGAGTCCCAGTACCTACAACGGCTCTTATCTTCTGTTTGCAATAAGGAAATAATAACAGGCAAGGGCCTTTCTTCCAGCCACAGAAGCCTGATGCTGTGATGACCAGCACAGCACTGACCTCCCAGATCCTCAGGTCCTTTCACTTGAAGGCTGTGACTGTCACCGAGGGAAAACAGTAAGACAGAAACACACACAAGACACAGATCTTACCTGACCATTGATGTCTGAAATCAGTCCCAAAGGAATAAGGCATTCTGGCTCACTTGCCTGCCCTGCCTCGTCCACAAAAACGTGTGTGAAGTATCCAACTCTAGAGCCAAAGATGTCGGAATGGTAATTTCATTGTATTGCTTAGCAACTGCTACCTAACACATATTGGCAAAACTCTGCTATGTGGTGCTGGGATCACAGTGGGGTTTTCCAGGGACGATAAGACCAAGAGGTATGGGTGTCACAAGACTTGGAGTCACAGAGCTGCAGGCCTGCTAGGAGATTCATACGCATCCCTATCAGCAGTTGGTGTTCTGTAAGCAGAATATGTACGTGTTTGGAAGGACATGAAGGGGGCAAGGGTGGGTATGAACAAAGCCCAAGAGCCTTCTGGTAGCTTAGAATTCTGGCACCTTGTATTGCAGAAACCCTTTGCCCTTGCTTAGACCTGCACCCTCCCAGTCCAGCAGCCTCTTAGCTATGTGTGGCTCTTAAGCATCTTACAGTGGCTAGTCTGACATAAAGAGCTCTAAGTTTCATACTTGAATAATTAAATGTAGACTGTCTCATTAGTGATTTCATACAGGTTACATAATTAAATAACACTGTGGGGCCAGTGAGATGGCTCAGAGTGTAAAGGTACCTGCCACTAAGGACTTGAATTTGATCCCTGGGGCATACAGGGATCAACTCCCCCAAGGTGTTTTCTGACCTTCACATTTGTACCCACACACGTACATACAAAATAAAATATTAAAAATATTAAATTCCTAGCTAAAAATAAATAAAATATAGGTAACTAAAGAATCTTTATGAAATAATCTGCAACCTGCTTGAGGCCAGGTTGGCTCTCTCTGCTCTCAGATGCCTAGAACTCAGGTCAGAAAGGTGGCATGTGTGGGCCTAGGTAGTCATCCTCACAGCTACATTCTGGGGTGACTCTGCTCCAAGCTGCAGAGCTGACTGTCCTCAGGATCTCAGGAGTTGGGACTCACCCCCAGGGAAGCTTGCTTCTCCTCCTCCCTCAGCCTGGCCTGTGCTACCTCCTCTTCTTACCAAGACCTGGCTTGCTGCCTCCCTGGCTCACTTCTAGTGCACTTGGGACATTCCTCCTAGCACTGAGGACAAGTTCTCTGTCCTTAGCCCATCCCTCCTTACCTCCCTGCACCATCACTGCTCCATCTTCTAGGGAGACGCCACTAGTGGGTACTTGAGCTGTCCCACCCAGGATTAACCTCACGGAATTCAGCTGTTTCCTAAGCAGCCTGCCTTCCAATGGTCCATTAAGCTACTCATTCAGTAGACTTCTGTAAACTAAGGTCATACCTAATGCCTCTTCTAGAATCCAAGCCTCTTGTTGCTCCTATCGCCATTCTTGCTCACTAGGCCCCAGCTCTGAGGTTTCCATTCCACAAATATGCTCAGGGCTCTCTAGCTGCTCGCCCACCTGCCTATCCACTGTACTGCTGAACCCTTTGAGTCTCTTGGTCTCATCAATACCCCTGTTTCCTCGGAGAAGACACCCACCCCTTACTGCTCTTATCCTGTGGCTGACACCTCCCTCCCCTACTCAGTTTCCATCTGGTCAACCTTTTCTGACCTAAGTGTGGGGGACTCTGCTCCTCCAACATTCGACACTTACCTCACTCCTATCTGGTAGAAAAGTCCTGCACTGCTACATGTGGTGATTATTATCCTGAAGCGTGAGGCTCTCCAGATATCTTCTCCATCTCTGCAATATGGTTTGATGGCATCAATAATAGTCTGAGGCAAAGAGGTTAGAGTCAGTTTGGGTTTCAATTTATTGATCATTTATTTAAACTGGACAAAACAGCAAGGCTAGGAGGAATTCTACAAGATAATCTTGCCCTGTTGCTACTTCTTAGTGATGATTAATTATTAATGATTATCTTAAATTAAAATGTCTTATATTTTCATATTAAGTCCATGTTTTATGAACTCTAAAGGCATGAATATACTATAATCCTTTACATAATCCAGAAAGCAACTTACTATGTTTTTCTAGTCATAATTTATTTTTTGAGCAATATTTATTTTATTTTTTTTAAATATTTATTTATTATGTATACAATATTCTGTCTGTGTGTATGCCTGCTGGCCAGAAGAGGGCACCAGACCTCATTGCAGATGGTTGTGAGCCACCATGTGGTTGCTGGGAATTGAACTCATGACCTTTGGAAGAGCAGGCAATGCTTTTAACCTCTGAACCATCTCTCCAGCCCATATTTATTTTATTTTATTTATTCAAAAACAAACTAGGATACTCTAATTTTCCAAAAGGGATAGTGGTAACCAAATCAATAAAACAGAACTAAAAAGAAAATAGAATATAGTTGAAGAATTACATCTTAGGAAACAAGAGTATTGATGAGAATTTAACAAAACTGAGAATGTCCACAAAAGCACTGTTAATTTGGGGACAGGTTGAGAACATAATGAAATATTCAGGAATAAGAGCCCATCATGTAACTGAGTTGTATCACAACAACAGAGCAATTTTTTCCATTATAACTTTCTACAATAGTTTGGTGTCTACCAAGCTATTACCTCCTGCTCAAATCTGCCCACTAAGTATTCTTCATAGAAGGATTCCAGGCACCCATCCCATGCCTGGGGCTCACCTCCTCAAATCTGCAGGTGGCATTCACCCGGACCATGGCAGCTGGCTTCAGAACCTTGCTCTCATGAAGTCGCAAACACACAAGGTCAGCAGCACTGTTGGAGGGAGCGCAGACCAAAATCCGACTGTCCGGCAAAGCATAATGTACCTGCATTAAGAAGTAAGAGACCAGGGATCTTATTGCCACAGAGTGGAAACCCTGAGTATTTATCCAACATACAGATTCCTTTATAGGGAACAAGGGGTGTGGGATTGGATACTAATCTCTGAGCATCTGAGACATTCCTTGCAATATCCAAGAGACTACCCCCACCTCCCTGGGCACAGACGAGATGTAATCAGGTGGTAGTTCCTCCCTGCCCCCAGTCCCACATACATACAGAGAAAGAGCAAATGCAGGGCTATCCAAAGCCTGTATATGCTGTATCTCCAGCTCTGCAGCCATAACCTTCACACACCTCCACAGACATATCCATAGACAGCACCAACTTCTATCAATCTCACAAGCCAAGCTTGTAGCATAACATAGAATACTCACAGTATGCTTGCTAATCAAAATCTGGAATGACACTGCAGTACTATATATACACAGGATTTTCATGAATTTAATCAGAAATATAAAGGAGAGCCCAGCAATAGCTGCAGAGTGGTGGCTTCAGTACTGTCCAGGCAACTTCTTCAGTAAAGCTTCACAACGGGATCAAAGGTTTACTGACTAGAAATGAAGTTTTCTTCTACACTTATGAAATAAACTTAAAATCCTAATACATAATCAGACAATGTTAGGAGCTAAATCTTTCTTAAATTCTTTACAAAGGTCTCCGGAGTTTAAACTAATACTTTCTCAGACACAAACACATGAACACAGCACAAACCGATAGCAACCAGCACCACCATTCTTACCTGCAAAACAGCCTCAATTATTGTCACAGTCTTTCCAGTTCCAGGAGGTCCAAAAAGAATATATGGGAGGGGTCGGCAGTCACCACTCAGAATCCTCCTCACTGCCAGCTTCTGGTTTTCATTGAGCACTGGATTGAAAAACTCCTTATCTCTTGCTTTAGGGATCTGAACTTCATCTACTGCATGTGAAGTGGAAAGACAGCCTAGTCAGACCATCAGATGCTTGTTAGACGCTATAAAGGCCAAGTAAAACATGACAATGCCAACAACTTTCAGTGTGGCAGGAGAACATGTCCCAGAACCATCTTTGTTTTCTGAGGCAAAGTCAGCAAAAGTTAGTTTTCTAGGCCACTTACAGATACAGCATCCCCCGAAGTATTACATACAGGGTTTAAAACCTTTTTTGTTGATGATTTTCCCCAAACATTTAAATGAGTTGTTTTAAAGTTGGCATACAAAGCGTTAAGTTTTACTGCGACTCTTTCATACTTGGTTTGGGGTGACCTTGCTGACCCAGTCTCCCGCCCACTACACATCCTTCCCGTACGGCCTGCACTCTGCGCTCTTGTCATGTGCAGTCTAAAACCCCTCTTCCTTTCCCCATGGCCCCCTTAAGACTTCCTTCTCCCAGTCTCTTCCTATTTTTATGACCTATGTACCAACATATAAACATGTCTAATAATTAAAATTTAGGATCTGCATATGAGAGAAAACCACTTGGTATTTGTCTTTCCAAGTCTGGAAAACTGCATAGTAATTTCCATTCCATAATTTTCCAGAAAGGGATCACAATTTCATTTTTCTTTATCTTAATACAGCTGTACGTATTAAATTTTATCAATTCAAATTAGATGGGTTGGTTTCACATTCAAAAACAAACTATGTTTAACAATAAGTTTAACAATAAATAATGTATCTGTAACCATCTCTTGTATACTAACTTAGATTTCTTGGGATATATACCTAGTAGTATATCAGGACAATATGAGAGTTCTTCTATTCATAATTTTTTAAAAAAGATTTATTTTACATGTATGAATGTTTGCCTACATGTTTGTCTGTACACCACATGACTGCCGAGTGCTTGCCAAAAGAGGGTGTCAGATCCACTGGAACTGGAGTTGTAGAAGGTTGTGAGCTGCCATGCAGGCACTAGGAACCAAACATGGGTCCTCTGCATGAACAGCCAGTGCTTCTTCAGTGCTGAGCCATCTCTCCAACCCTACTCTTAGTTTTTAATTTTTTGAAACTTCTAGACTGATTTACTAGTAGTAAATATGGTTTTTTTTTTATCAGCACTTCTTTGATGTGGGATTTCCCTCTATATGCTGTGAATATATTTTCTTACCATTGGCTAAGAAAGAAGCTGCTTTGACCTATGGCAGAGCAGAATATAGGTAGGCAGGGAAACTAAACTGAATGCAGGGAGAAGGCAGAGTTGGGAGACACCATGTAGCTGCCAAAGGAGAAGGACACCAGAACCTTACCAGTAGGCCACAGCTTTATGGTGATACACAGATAATAGAAATGGGCTAATTTAAGATGTAAGAGCTAGTTAGAAATATGCTTGAGCCATCGGCCAAACAGTGTTGTAATTAACATAATTTCTGTGTGGTTATTCGGTCTGGGCGGCTGGGAAATGCAAGCGCAGCCTCCAGTTACACTTGTTGTCTCTCCATGTTAGTTAGCCTCTCTGCCTCGGGTGAGATAGAATTTTCAATAGTTTTAATTTGTATTTTCCTGATGGCTAAAGATGTCGAACACATTGTTAAATGCTTACTAGGCATTTGTGTCTGTCAGCATTACAAGTTGGGTGTGCTGAATCCTGCTTATACTTTTTGACACTGAGGCTAAGTGAGGGATCACTTGAGTCCAGGACTTTAACACCAGCTGGGTGATACTGCAGGACTGACTTTATTAAATATAGAGAGCATACTACAACTTAGGAGCATGCACAGCAAGAATAAAGCAATCTAAGGTTTTTCTAAAGCATCTAATCTAAACCACCAAGACACCCCTCGGGAGCAGGCAGATGGGGCTTCAGCCTTCTGTGGACAATGTGTCTGTCATGACTGGATCTCCAAACACAGTGTGCTTCTCAGGCAACTTCTTTCAACACAGGTTTCACTGAGCCCATTATATATTTGCACCCAACTCACTGGTCTCTGCAGTAGAGGCCGCCTTCTCTGGCAGGTCTGTGGTACCCATGCTCCTCTCCTTTGTTGTATATTTAGTTTGACCCTTCACTGTTTTCTTGTTCTGGAAATAATCATGAAGAAAGTAGTTACAACAGCAGCTTTGTGTACAGAAGCTTAAAAAGCAGCACACACACCTACCACCAACACTCTGCTGTCACATTGAACAGTTCTTTGGATAGGTCACAGGTCTACCCTTTGAAACATAATTCAAACATGAGACAGTGAATAAAAACCTGTCTAAAAGTTTATGCTTTTCCCCAGTTCTTTGAAAAATAAATATAAAAAACCTGAGTTTTGTCATGATGAAATTGAAACAGAGAGGTAATGAGGACTCTGCTGTGCAGCATCTTCGTGCCTTCCTGAGAACACAGAAAGCCAGCACTGCTTGTCAAGCGTGTTCAAAGCCTACACAAGAACTGGTTTTACAGGTGTGTTTGAATATAGATATACTTTTCTCTGAGCCAACAGTATTGAATTCTTAATTTTTCTATTATAAATACTTCCTAATTCATAGCTTCGTATATATATCTTTGTGTAATCAATGACTTTTATATAATGAATCTTGAAGCTCTGCATCATAAAATTTCTTCATTAAAAATACATGCAGTCAAATTTTATTCTAGGATTTCTCAACGTGGCCTCCAATCACTGTCATATTGGTGCTGCAGAGGATAACTGGTATGGTCTTAGTCCATGTGCCTAACCCTGTAACTCTATTTGTCTGACCATAGTCTAGTCTGAGAATATACTTTAATATGAGGATGGATAAGTACTTTATTTCAATACTGTCACAGATATTTATGACCTTTACACATACTTTGCTGGAAATAACATTCTGCACTTAAGAATGTAAGGCAGTCAGCAAACCCTCATCTAAACAGCAGTAGCTTCTCTTCCTTCATCCCATCCTACCATCTCCTACACAGACTTCTCTTGAGAATCACGCAACGCAATGAACAAGGAGGAAGGGGATAAAAGAGAGATTTGCAAATGAAAGCTCAATGAAGACTTCTAGTCTCAGATCAAAATAAACATCTAGAAGTAAATACATAGCTGACAATTTTTTGAAATTATTTATTTTATGTATGAGTGCCCTTTCTGCATGTATGCCTTTATGCCAGAAAAGGACATCAGATCCCACTACAGATGGCTGTGAACTGCAATGTGGTTGCTGGGAACTGAACTCAGGAAGAGAAGCCAGTGCTCTTAACTGCTGAGTCATTGCTCCAGCTCCCAGATCATGATTTTTTTAAAAAAATTTTAAAGAATTTATTATGATTTATTTAACTTTTATTTTATGCGCACTGGTGTGAAGGTATCAGATTGCCCTGAAACTGGATTTACAGACAGTTGTGAGCTGCCCATGTGTGTGGTGGGAACTGAACCTGGGTCCTCTAGAAGAGCAGTCAGTGCTCTTAACCATCAAGCCATCTCTCCAGCCCCCGAGCTCATGATTATTTTTTTCTCTTTTTTTCTTTTCTTTTCTTTCTTCCTTTCTTTCTTTCTTTCTTTCTTTCTTTCTTTCTTTCTTTCTTTCTTTCTT